TTGTGGTTAATTGGTGATTCTAAATTGTCCGTAGGTGTGAATGTGAGTGTGCTTGGTTGTCTGTCTCTAAGTGTGGCCCTGCGATGGACTGGCGACCTGTCCAGGGTGTCCCCTGCCTTCACCCTAAGTCGGCTGGGATAGGCTCCAGCCCCCCCGCGACCCTAGTGAGGATTAAGCGGAGTATAGAAAATGGATGGATGGATGGATGGATGGGAAGTAGTGGAACGAAGGGACAGACTTCCCTCTTCTTCCACAGGAGGGCAGTCCAAGCCCAGTCAGTGACACAGACCACAGCTAACCAACACTAGTAAACAGAAAATTGTGTTCTGAGCATCAGTGAAAATTGCCTGACTGTTAACTAATGAAACCAGCTAATTTCAAAAATCTGATACCGGTAAGCAAAAATGAATTGATAAGTTTCCTGGAAACAAAAGGCATAAGGTATGTGTATAACTCCATCTGATCATACGCCAAAGCTTTGGCATTACAGTTGTGTTTATATCTTGAAACATTAATGCAAAGAATGTTTTTGAAATAAGATAGATACAAATAGGTTTTAAAAAACCACTTCTTGGTCTTTTAATAGACTTATTCACAGCATACTTTTTGAGAGGGTAAGCACAGCTTATTTAAGTGTTGCAGTAAACTTGCATGCACAAAACAGACCTCCTCTAATTGGACTACAGCCATCATTAATGTACCTGTTCACTCAAGGGTCTGTAGTTTAACCACTGCCAGCCAAGTCATTGCCCAGTTTCACAACCTGTCGAGCAAAGACCGTCAAAGTTTTCTGAAGATCAAACAAGCAATCTCCACTTGCTGAGAAACACGGTGAACTCCAGAAAAGGTCAGTGATTAGTAACTAGACCATATGGTTAAGACTGGAATCCTGTTTCACAGGTAGTTATTTGTATTTGGCACATTTATCTATATATTCTCACATCCCTACAATGAAAATCAACAAGGGAAATGCTGTTTTAATCTTGGTGAAATGGTCATGGGGAACAAGGCCAAAATCAATCATTGTACTCTTAACATGTCAGGTCAGATGACAACCAGAGAGCAGGTGTAGGACAGCAGGGGAGGAAATATGGAGAAAGCAGAGGCAAAATGGGCAAAAGTCCACTTGGGAAATCAGATTTACCTGTCAGACGTTGACTCATTGAAGGCTGAGGTAAAGTTGAGGTCAGCACCATCCCCAGGTGTTTGTTTTCTCACTGTCAACATCTAGATCCAGGTTGAAACTAACAATAATAATAATGACACACAAACATACACACATTTCTGTTGATGTGTTGCGATTACTGTAGGCATCGGCTAAATAGTTCAACGTCCCAGGGGCAGAATGAACTGCAGGCCATAGGTGCCACTTTAACTTCTATACATTGTTCTCTGTCACCTTCAAATGGACTGTTTTAGATGCTATTTTCATCTATAAACATGTTCCTATTGTTCACAGACAACAGTGGCGTAATTGTGTGCTGCTCAAAGACACTTTAGTGTGTGTGCCACAGGAGCCAGGAATCAAATCTAATGGGTGGCAGATGATCACACTCTGCATGTTGAGGTGACCTGATGGAATTAAAATGGGGTTGAAAGATATGCACAGCATGCTCTTTGTGTCAATTAGGCACACTACACATAACAGAAATAATTGTAGAATAGTAGCATTGATTTTGCTGGGTGTCTATTATAAAACAAGAAATATCTAAATATATAAAAATACAATACTACAAAATGTAATGGAAATGTTAAAGCAAATATAGGTGTTAAGCCTACCAGAGAGCTACAAGATACATTGTTGCACAGAGAGAACAAGTACATTTTCCCTGTGATCTAAAGACAGGCAGACACTGTACAGTTCGCTACGATCAGCACCTCACATTAAATCTCAATACACATCTGAACTGATCCTTTCTAAGACACAATGTTTATGCTTAAATCGACCTGTTCAAAATGTGACTGCTAGCACTGAATGTTAAATAAATTTCACAGTAGCAGAAACTGTGCATGATTATAATCCATAAAAAATGTTATTATTATGAAGAGCTTCACAACTCTCGAAAGAGGAACTACTGTAACCTGGCATTGCTAATGGCAAGTAAGTTTAACAGGGGAAAAAAATGCTTAGTTGAGGTTAGGGAGCAATAATGGTTATGAGTAAAAGACACCAACAAAAAAACATTCTATTTTATCTACATAGCAGTAAAACATAACTTATCACAGCTGCACTTTACATAGTAAGGTCACTGACCTTAGGTGAGTACCTTTCAGTCTTGTAGAGAGAACCCCAACAGTCCATAAGGGAGCACTTGGCGACAGTGGGGAGAAAAGGCTCCTTTTCAACTGGAAGAAACTGACAATCGAACCAGGCTCGGGCTGGAGGGACAGTGGTCAGTGTATAGAGGCAAAAAGGAGCAAAGAGAGCAGAGACAAGAGAAGAAAACAGCAAGTCGTAGACAGTGAAGTGGTTGGTGGGGCTAGTGTTTGTAGATGAGAAATATGCAGCTCCAGAGACTCAGATATCTGTAGGGAGGGAGGACAGAGAGGACAGGGCAAAATTCCAACTACAGGAGAAAGAAGATATAAAGTTAAAAAATTAGAGCTGCAAGCAGCTATGGTTGGGCCTATATGGCCTAGTTATAGGTCACTTCCTGTTTTATGGCGAGCCAAGGAGGCATGCGTGTCGGGCCATGGTGGCAACATGCTCTGGCTGGGACTCAGAGCACATGTGTAAAGTTTCAGGCAGATTGGTGCACATACAGGCCAGTTACACAGCATGTACCGCTTTATGGCGTTTTATGGTGTTTTGGCAAAATTCTGTGGGCCACCATTTTGATGCCATCAGACGTTTGCATAGCTTTTTAATAACTTTTAATCACCACGTCCTGTAGTTCAGGCTGGGCAAATTTCAGATGTGTATGACATTCCCTCTAGGAGGAGATAGGTTTCGAAAAGGCCAGAAAATGAGGGAAAACTCATCAATTTTGTCGCCCTCTTTTTTCAAAATGCCAGACTTCCTGTTGGGTTTAGGGCTTGGGCTTGTTTTTGCAAAACCCTTTTGTAAAAATTCCATGGGCTGGCATTTCCATGCCCTCAGACTTTTGTGGAACGTTTTAATAACTTTTATTTACCACGTCCTGTATTTTGTGCTGGCCAAATTTCAGGTAGGTACAAGGTATCCCCTAGGAGGAGATAGATTTTGAAAAAGGCCAAAAATGAGCAAAAAAAACAGCAATTTTGTCGCCCCCTTTGTTCAAAATGACGGACTTCCTGTTGGGTTGAGGGCTTGGTGCTGGTTGACTTTATTGTATGTCCCGACCTGCTACATAGCCATCCATTATCTATACACCACCCAATCCTCACTAGGGTCGCGGGGGGGCTGAAGCCTATCCCAGCCGACCTAGGGCGAAGGCAGGGGACACCCCGGACAGGTCGCCAGCCCATCACAGGGCCACACCCAGAGACAGACAACCAAGCACACCCACATTCACACCGACGGACAATCCAGAATCACCAATCAACCTCAACATGTTTTTGGACTGTGTGGGAGGAAGCCGGAGAACCCGGAGAGAATCCACGCTGCACAGGGAGAACATGCAAACTCCACGCAGAAAGATTCCGGTGCCCCCACCGGGACGCGAACCGGCGACCTTCTTGCTGCGAGGCAACAGTGCTACCAACTGCGCCACCCTGCACCTGCTACATATGTCCACCGAATTTTAGAGGTCTACATAAAATGGCCTTCTGGCGAGAGTCTGTTGTATGCCGGAAACACAGCGAAAAGGGAGGAGATAGATTTTGAAAAAGCCTGCAAATTAGTGAAAATGAGCCAAAATCAACTGTAATGCTCACCGTTTTTTCAAAATGACAGACTTCCTGTTGGGTTTACAGAAAAGCACTAATTTTGTGCGCCCAACCTGCTACATATGCCTGCTGAATTTCCTAGCTGTACATACAAATTTGGCTTGATAGGACTCCGTTGAAATTTTGTAGGGGGCGCTGTTGGGCCATTTTGCCATTGACATGTTCAAGTCCTTTAAAATATCACATTTTTCACGAGTTCGGATGTGTGTAGTGATTTTGG